AAATCCCGTTGGACCCAATCGGGATCCTATAAGACCTCCCTCGGATTCCTATAGGTTTGCGATGGAGTCCTGTAGTATTAAAATCGGGTTCCTAGAGGATTCCTATAGGATTGCGATAGGGTTGCCAGGGTTCCCATCGGATTCCAATATTATTACAATCGGATTCCTATGGAAGCCTGTAGGACCCTTTAGGGATCATATAGGATTCCTATAGGGTTCCTATGGGATCCTGTAGGACACTGAAGAGATCCTATAGGGACCCAAAAAGGACCCCAATTGGATTCCTATTGGGATCCGATGGAATCCTGCTGGCCCCTGTAGGGATCCTGTAAGACCCCAATAGGATTCCTATTGGCATCCTATGGAACCCTGTAGGACCCTGTAGGGATCCTATAGGCTTCCAATAGGAGCCCCATAGGATTCCAACGGAATTCCTATGGAATCCTGTTGGGCCCTGTAGGGACCTTATGGGTTTCCAATGAGATTCCAATAGGATTCCGATGGAATCCTCTAGGACCCTCTAGGGACCCCATAGGATTCAATAGGATTCCAATAGCATTCCGACGGAATGCTGTAGGACCCTGCAGACCCCCGCAGCGGCCTGGTGAGGCCTCGTGGCGTTGCTCGGACCAGGGGCCCTGCAGGGCCCGTGCGTGGCCCCGTGGTGTTGCTCGGGGGGGGGGTCGAGCAACGGGCCTCCAGTAGTGTCCTCGCGAACAACACCAACAACAACAACAACAACAACAACAACAACACCACCACCACCACCAACAACAACAACAACAACAACAACAACAACAACAACAACAACAACAACAACACCACCACCACTACCACCAACAACAACAACAACAACAAAACTGAGAGGGAGAGAGAACAAAAGAGCGAGAGATGACGAAGACCCCAGCAGATCGAACTCAAGAGGAAAGCGAGAAGCAGAGCACAAGAAGTGGGCGGATGCCCCCGCTGGACGCTGGCGGCACCAACGTTTCCCCCCCATGACTCCTTGAAGTTATACATCTGCTCTGTGATCTCCTCGCCGGCCTTCCGTTTGTAGAGATCCTGTCCGCGGGTTTGCTTGGAAGTGCATCACAATAAAAGTATACATCCCCATCTGCTGCCTCTCGTATGTCAAGAAACTAGATGCGCAGTACTGAACTGTGATGAGTTGCGCATAACTCGTCCTTTCGGCGAGATGCCGTCGACTCGCGCCTGGCTACGGCAGGTTCGTGTCGTGACGACCAAGGCGTTGGCTTCGGACAACCTGTGGATCGTTCAGTCTTGAACGATCGGCCGCTTCTCGATCGCCAGCTCATTCCCCTTCGGCCGATTCTGGGCCCTGGCGGCGCTCAATCTTGAACACCTGCGGCGGGGTCGCCGCCGCGTCGACACGACACGAAACTGCCGCGCAATCTGGGCAGCGCGGCCTCCGGGAGGGCTGGCGAGGATGGGGCAGGGCGGGGAAGAGGCCCAAAACCTTCTTGTTTCTTCATACAACAAAACTCCACGGGTGACACAACCACATCGAGAATCAAAAAGTCGCTAGGTAAACTGGGAACCCACCCACAAGCCAACCTGCAATAGGCAAGCTCATACTGTGGACCGTGGCCTGAACGACAAATCGACAAAGCAGCCGCCCTGAATGCATTAAGGTATCCCCCGAGGCCGTTCGGGCCAAGGGTATCCCCTACACACAGCGCCGAGACGGGAAATCCTTCCGTTGCTCATACATGTGCAGAGATTGCGAGATGGGTGCATGCATGTGTAAATATAACATGAGCTTGCACATGTGTATACATATATATATGGACATAAACAACTCAAATACACATACATATACGCATACATATACATACATATATGTACACATGTGCATAAACCATAAACCTATACACATACTTATACATATCTACAGATATATATATATATATATATATATATATATATATATGTGCATGTGCATACGCATATGCATGAGGCTCAATAGACGGTGAAGAGCACCATGGCATCATGGAGGCTTAGAGGGTAAGATTTCTTCGCAGCCGTGAGGCGGGTAACGAGGTTCTGCCGATGCATGATTGCGGCCTCTCTACATCGATGCCGGATGTAGCCGTACGCAGATGGACGGGAAGCATACGGCCCAGCACGGGACCAGAGGTGAGCATAATATGACTTCCCGAGGCCGTCCAACACATGAATGAGCCGCAGTCCTTACACCCGGTCTTGCCGTTGTGTTTTGGTAGTGGGTGTGCACGGCTGTGGTGCCATCTGGTAGGGGTGGCGCCGTGGAGCCCGATTGACCAGAGCAGGTTGTGGAGGAGAGCTTGGAAACGCGGGAGGTGTGCGTCGGGATCGTTGCTGTCGAGGCCGGCAGCTTGGGGGGGGAAGCGTTGAGGTGGAGGGACATGCGGAGAAGAAGAAAAAACGCCATAAACATCAACTTTTGGCGCTCCGCGCAGATTTCTTGGACCCCCCTCCTTGGCGCGCGCCAGACGTTTATGTTTATGGCGTGTTTTCTTCTTCAAATGCGGTATACTTTGAAGGGGATGGTACCGGTGAGGGTTGTCTTGCGAAGCTTGGCACGCCGCGCTCGGTGCTGCAGACCCTCGCGAAGTCTCGAGGCGCGCGGGCGTGAGAGACAGCACGACGGTCGTCGCGGAAAAAGGTCGTGGTTGTGGCCGAGGCGGCGGCGTACGGTAGGAAGCCATATGTCCTCCTTCGCTGGAGGCCTCCTAGATGGGGTCGGAGTCGATGGGGTCGGAGGATCGAGCCGCAACGCCAATACATCGGCGATGCATCAGCGATGCATCGGCGATGCGCCTGCGATGCATCGGCAACGTCGGCGATGCATCGGCGACGTCTGCGCGAAGAAGATCGGGCTCCGCATCGAGCTGCATCGCCGATGCATCGGCGATGCGGCGCGACCCTCCGACCACATCTGCTCGGACCCCATCTGGGAGGCCTAAATTCGTGCCCTGGTAACCTGCTGCCTACCACTCTGCGGCGGTCGGTGATTCAGGCGCAGCAGGGTCAAGCAGTCGCTTGTTGGGGCCAAGCTTGGAGCCAGGCATCTGCCGGGCGCTCGCCCAGGCAGCGTGGTGGTCCCGATGCCGCCAACCTTGACGAAGGGAGTCGGCAAGGTCGGCTTCAGAATAACGACGATCATGTTTGAGTAGCTGTTGAAGCTTGCGCCGGCGTTTCCAATACCGGACTCGTAGTTGCCAGGCGTGGAGCATATATGATCGAAACTGCAGTGTACAGTACTGGTGGTGTGGGGCCTCGAAACCGCGGTGTCGAACTCGAAACTCTGGATGTCGTATTTGGCTGTAGTGGGGGCGTCGATGCCACGCTGGGTTCCTGGGGGCGTTGGTGAGTCCAGGCGGCCACCGAAAAGTGCGCCGACGTTTGCTGGAAGCAATCGTCAAGCACGTCAAGCAGTTGGTCGGGTGTCGGAGGTAGCTCGCAAGACGTGTCTGTGATCGGGAGCTGGTTACGACAAGCGTCCTAAGGCGTGGATTCGTCTCCGATCGTGCACGCACTTGGTCAAGAGATGTCGGTCCCAACGCGCTGCTGTGGTTGTTCGCGCCACGGAATACCGCAATCGATGCCGTACCTCACATGCCAGTGGGCGGTGATCTCGTCGTCCAGGTGCTGCCATGTACTGAAGAAATTGCCCCAAGGTTTCGAAAACTTTGCACCAACACACGCTGCCCGGTTGAGTTCGGGAGGCAGCAACACGGCTATAGTAGGTAGGGCCGCCGCCTTTGAATGTGTTGACACATACCAAGTGCTGCCGCTCGCAAACCAATCTGAGCTGACTTCCGTTGAAGTTTTCCTTCTGGACCGTGAGGGGCCCCACCGCTGGAGTAGATCGGTAGGCCCAGATTCCGTTTCCCATATCGTATGTGCGTATGTGCCAGGCCAGCCATCAAAGTCACCAAGCAGGATTGGATAGGTGCGGTGACGTAAGGTGCTGATGTCGTGTTCAAGCCAATTCCATATCTAACAGGCTTTCTGTCGATCTGTTTCGCTCGTGGGCTCCACGTGCTGGCACACTGCCACAAGTGCAATATCGACGCCGCCTTGGAGAAACCGAAGAACCAGCAAGCGTCCTCGGAACTCGGCTGGGACTTGCACGTGTCGGAGGTGATGCTGCTGCTGGATTCGTCGGCTGACCCCGACGGCGATACCAGTGCTCCGGTTGGGGGGTCGCCCTTCGTGTCCAGAATGGTAAAAAATGTTCTGGGATTGGGGCACGCTCTGCACATATTCTGGACCTGCTTTTGAAGTACCAGGAAGCACAACGACATTGTATGACTTGAAAGCCTCACTGATAGCTTGTGGCCGTCCTGCTGCATACCACACCTGAGGCTTGTAGGTGACGACTCGCCACGCCATCGCATGCCTCGGGGCGCGTGCTGCCTGCTGGATCAGGGGGATGTAAGCGTCAACTAAAACAGCGCTTGCACAGCAACTTTCGATCTTGAGGATGATGCTGCCCTGCGCGCCTTGTCTTAGAAATGACAGCTATACATACATGCATGCATACATTCGTATAGATACGTGTAAATATATATAGATAGCCCTGCATACATACAGCAGCAGCAACGACGAACAACGGCAGCAACAGCAACATCAAGAACAACAACCAGTTTAAGACTGTTCGCTCTTATCAGCTCGCGTATCATGCAACACGTTTAGTTACCCGAAACCCTCGATAACCCGCCCTCTTCGTCTTCGATCGTACCCCTTACGGGCACATCTCTCTTGCCTGCAACGCGTGTTTCATGCAGCCCCCAAGACAGGGGAACAGCAATAACGATAAGAATCGTCACAAAAATCATAAGTTTTAATGAAAAAACAGCGGCTACGCGCCACCCCATCGGGCCTCGTTCTCGAGCACGGGGGCGTCGTACTCCTGGAAGCTGAACTGCGCGGCCGTGCCCCGAAATTTGTCGAAGAGCCACCGCTGCAGCCGCATGTCCTCGGGGAAGAAGTCCCGCGTGCCTGGGGGGGAGCCCCCCGGGGCCCCCGAGGGGGAGGGCATCACGGCAGGCGCAGGGGCGAAGGGCAGCGTCGGAGGCGAATCGGCGACGACGACGGCGACGACCACGACGACGACGACGGCGACGACGACGACGACGGCGACGACGACGACGACCACCACCACGACGACGACGACGACGACGGCGAAGACCGCCTCCGTGACGACGACCGCGATCACGACGACGACGACGTCGACGACGACCGTGACGACGACGACGACGACGACGGAATCGGCGACTCATCGTCAACAGATCGGCGATACAGTCGGGCCGCTGAAGAAAGGAACGGATAGTGGGGAAGGAAGCCCCTTTGGGGGGCCTCGGAGGCGCCATTTCAGCGTCTTGACTGTAGGCCCCCGATAGCGAGACCGTATGGTCCTGGGCGGGATGGGCCTATAGGGCCCCTACTGGCGATCAGGGCGATTGAGGGTCGATGCATCCCACCCCCTGAGCCCATCCCCCTGTAGCGTGTTTCGGTCAGCGTGTTTCGTGCCTCGAGAGACAGAAAGGGCAGCCCGGGGAAAGACAACATCAGTCAGCGAATCGGGAGATCGGGTCGAGGTCGGATCGGGCTACATCGGCACGGAGTCGAAATTGAATCGGATCGACTGCGCCAGCATGCACAACAGCGCTATGCATGCATCGAGCCGCACTGGATCATTGGAATATCGGAATCGAATCAGATCGGGCTGGCCAGAATCGATATCAATTCGGATCAATCGGATCGAAATGGACCTTGGATAGACGTGGTGGCCCTTCAGCTCACCACGCTCTGATGCGGTCTGTCATGAGTTCCGTCAAGCGCTGTGGCTTATTAAGGAGCCCACGACGTGTCGGCCGTCATCGCCCTCCCAGTCATCACATGCCCATCATTACATGTCGCTCTCTTCCACTCAAGCCAAACAAGAACGAGCGGAAAGAACATGAATCGGAAAACACGTAATGACATTTGGATTGGAGCTGGAATCCCCTGGCGGCGCCGCCGGCGCCGCTCCTGGCGCGCTCCACGCGTCAGGAAAAGGGGCTCCAGCGCCGATCCGAGAAATCCGCGCGGACCTCCGAAAGATGTTGCTTATCTCTTCCTTCGTTTCCCGAATAAAGTTTATAAGGGCATGTTTAATTCGCGGCGATGGCGGACGGTATGGGAAAGGGGGGGGGGAGAAGGCCGGGGGGGAGCGTGACTTAACGCCCCCGCCCCCCACCGTGACGGACCGTGGTGCCGGACGCACTGCGGCAGTGCCGGGGACGCTCTGAGTGGGGGGAGCGTTACGTTTTGGGGGGGAAGGGGGGACGCGCGTTATGGCCCCGCTGAGCGTTACGTTTTGGGGGGAGCGTTACGTTCTGGGGGAAGGGGGGGAGAAGGCGGGGGCGTTACGTTCTGGGGGGAACGCTGAGGCAAGGGGGGAAAGGGGGGGAGCGTTACGTTTTGGGGGGGCCTTGACGCGCGTGACGGCCCCGCTGGCCGCAAAACACTCCACGTCGGGCGCCCTGGACCTGCCCGCGACCGGCGCCGGCCCCGGCGTCCGTGGGGCGGCGCGGCAGAGGCGGGGCCCCCCAGACACCGCTCGAGGCCGCCGCCGGCGGGGCGGGCACCGGGCGGGGGCAAGGGGCGGGGAAGCGAGGCAGGGAGGGAGCGGGAGGAGGAGCGGGAGGGAGGGAGCGGGGGGGGGAGGAGCGGGAGGGAGCGGGAGGAGGAGGCGCGGGAGGGAGGGACGGGAGGGAGGAGAAGGACGGGAGGAGAAGGACGGGAGGGAGGGACGGGAGGGAGAAGGACAGGATGGAGGGACGGGAGGGAGGAGAAGGGGCGAGGCGGGAAGGGAAGGGAGGGAGCGGGAGGAGAAGGAGCGGGAGGGAGAAATCTGAACCTCAACTCTCGACAGTCCGCGCTGATCTCTCGGGTCTGCGCTGGACCCCCCTCCCCAGCGCGCGGAGCGCGACAGGGGCGGCGCCGGAGGCGCCGCCATGGAGGGGGGTCCAGCGCAGAGCCAAGAGATCAGCGCGGACCGCAAAAGATCATGTTTAGGTCGGGCATGTCCTCCTACAGGCCTACTTGGAAGAAAAATCAGAAAATACGCAAGCATAGTCAAACAATAATCGAAACATCGTCTGCATGTTTTCACTATTTTGGCTATTCTTCCTGTAGAGGGACAGGCCCGACTTCTGTTCACGCGTTCCGTTTTCTCCGCATGGGGGCGAGCGAGCGCGCACGCGTGCGCCTCGCCGCGCCTCTGCCCCGCTGCCTCGCTGCGCGCAGGCTCCGAGCATCGCTCCCTCCCTGCGCTCCTCCGTGCGGGTCGCGGCAGCACCTCGGCGACCCTCTGCGGCCGCGCGCCGTCGCGCGCCTCGGCGCACCCTGCTCTGCCAGCGCCCCCGTGGGCCTGCGCTGCGACGACGCGCCCCCCTCCGCAGGCCCGCCCGCGCCCGGGCCCGGGCCCAGGCCAGCGAGCTGCAGCGCCGCGCGCGGGCCCTGGGCTGCCGAGCACGCCGCACCTCGCGCGACGCGATCCCCGGGCCGCGCGGCGCCGCAGCCGCAGCGAGTCGCCCCGCGCACGCGCACCGCCCTGACGTCTGCAAGGGGCACGCGCGCCGCAGAAGAGGAGAGACGCCGCGCGTCCCGCAGGCGCGCGAGCTGCGCACACTGCGCAGGCCCGGCACACGCACGCGCGCGGCAGGGGGCAGCACCAGTCCGCTGCCTCGAGGCGAGGCACGGCGGGGAGAAGCGAGGAGCGAGAGGAAAGGAGAGAGGGGTCACGGAGAGAGAGGAGGAGGAGGAGGAGGAGGAGGAGGAGGAGGAGGAGGAGGAGGAGGAGGGACCAGAAGGGAGGAGGAGGAGGAGGAGGAGGAGGACGAGGAGAAGGAGGAAGAGGAGGGGCTGGAAGGGAGGATGAGGAGGAGCAAAAGGAGGAGGAGGAAGGGGAGGAGGAGGGGGAGGAGAACCGTCAGAGGAGGGCGCCGCTCCCTCCCAGGGCGCCGCTCGGAGGCTCGAGGTCGATGCCGGCGGCCCCCTTGCCCTTGGTCTTCCCCTTCTGCTCGGCCTGCGGGGCCGCAACGTCCGACGCGGCGTCGAGGACCTGGGCGGAGCACGACTGACTGCCTACCAGACCACCCCAACCCATTTTTGTTCGACTCGCGCTGGCCGAGCGTGACGCAGCAGGAAGCCGCGCCCATAGCGCCGAGGCGCCGACCCGAAGGCCAAACTTAGGGTTCAGGGGGGCACAGGAAACCCAACCCTGAGACCCCAGGACGTCCACTGACTTGTGATGTGGGAAAGTCACGCTGTCCACCGAAAAGCCATCGAGACCCACGGAACCCAGGAAACCCTGGAGGCAAGCAAAATGTTTCTTGGCATAGATCTCCACTGTACGGGTTCCATGTGTTTTTCAATGCTCCCCGACGCCCCCCCCCGCAGTGGGAAAGGACGGCAAGTTGGGGCTTTCGGGTTGGGTTGGGGTGGATGGATAGGTGGTGAACGACATCACCGGAGGAGGGAGGAGGGATAGAGGCCTACCAGGTAGACCAGAGTAGATTGGGTCGGAGGATCGCGCCACATCATCGGTGCGTCCGGGATGCACCAGGGATGCATTGGCGACATCGGCGAAAGATCGGCACCGTCGGCGTGGAGAAAATCGGGCTCCGCATCGAGCCGCATCGCCGATGCACCGGCGACGCGGCGCGCTCCTCCGACCCCACTTGCTCGGACCCCATTTGGGAGGCCCAGGAGGGAGGAGAACCGGGAGGGCAGGAGGGAGGAGGACTGGGAGGGGGAGGACGGGAGGGGGCGAGGGCGAGGACGGAGGACGGAGGGCGGGAGGGGGAGGAGGAGGAGGGAGGGGGAGGAGGCGCTCCCCCTCTGGACTCCGAGCCACAGGAGAGCCGAGGGCCTGGCCGAAGCCAAGCCCGGGCAGCACAGGTGGGGTCCAGGAGAGGGGGGGGGGGGCAGGCCTACGCGCCGCGCAGGCCCCGACCCCCAAAGGTCGGCAGCGGGGCCCTTAGGACCCAGCGGGGCCCGACCACCGGCCAGAAGGTCGGCAGCGGACCCAAGGTCGGCAGCGGGGCCCGCATGACCCGGCGGGGCCCGACCACCGCCCAGAAGGCCCGGGAGGCGGCGGCAAACAAGGGGTGCAGGCAAGAGTCGTCCCGATCTCCAGCAAACGCGAACGTGGATCTGGCACGCGGGGCACGCCAATGCCGCCCGATTCGGCGGCGGTGCGCATCGACGTCTGTACGGCAACGAGACGCGTCGCTGATCCAAGCGCCTTCGCCTATGCTTGCGTTTCCTCGACGGTCCCTCTCCTACCCCCATGCCCTCTCCATCCCTAATCCCCACCTCCCTCCCCCCTCCTCCCTCCTCCATTCCTTCTTCCTATGAATACCTCCCCCCTGTCGCACCCCGAGACTGATCGGAAGGGCGGGCTGGGCGCTTCCCCTGAGACTTCCTCAGCATTTACGATCCTGAAGCTTAAAATATACAACTGTTCACGGATGGAAGGCAGGTCGTTCGCAAAATGTGACTTTCGACTTCGCACCGCGCACATTCATCCTCAAAGTTTGCAAGAGCGTCGTGGGTGTAGGGCTGGTCATTTTCAAAATGCCGCTCACGCCTTAGCGCCGAGCACATAAGTCTTTGAAAGTCGCATTTCGGTGCACGGATGAAGGGCGGCTCCTTTTCAAAATGCGGCCCTCGCCTTAGCACCGCGCACCTTCATTGCAAGGTTTTACCGCAGTGTCAAGGATTCCCATGGTTACCGTCTCAAAAATGCTGTGCTGGCAAAATGTCGGACTGCCAAGGCGCAACAGTTACGTTGATCCGTGATGTTGAGCTCCCAGGGATGGTGTCCTGGCACGATTCAGGATCGTCCAGACGCACCAATAAGGTTGATCCGCGGCCTTGAATCTCCAGGAATGGTAATCTGGAACGGTTCACAACTTTGAAACGGTTGTCTTCCTACGCCACCAGCCCACTGGGCGGAGGCTTCTCTCTGCCAAAACCAATCCTTCCCCTGTTCGGGGGCGGGGTATCTCTACTCCTCCCTATTAACAAAAACACCCTCCCGCTGTGCGCATAGCCACCGTCCATTTCAAAACACGATGCAAAATGCACCTCGCGGCTAATTCTGGATAGTGTGCGGCCACACCGCGATCACTGCCAAGTGGTTTTTGAATGGGACGGTGGGGGTAGTGGCGTATGGCCAACTGTGCGCAGCCCCACCAACACACAATGATGGGCACTGGTTTTCGACATGGATGGTGGGGGCCGACATGTTTCCCGATGTGTGCTGTCACGTGCGCGGGCGCACCTGACACACTCTGCGCGAGCCCCGAACGTGGCGCACCTGGCGCGGCTGAAGTATGCGGCACACCTGGCGCACGCGGAAACACGTGGCGCATTTGGCGCACCAGGCGTGCCTGGCACGCTCGGGCCCAAGGGGTGCCTGGCGCGCGTGGCGCGCCTGGCACGCGTGGCGCACCTCGCCCCAGCGTCGCGCACATGGGCTCGGTTTTGGTTCCCAGTAGCTGCCCATCCAAAGACGACCGCTGAACATGCTGAGGCTCGGATATTACTCATGTGTTGGGAGGGCGGGTGGGGGTGAGCTGGACGGCTTGCTATCTGGGAAGGTGTCTTGACCCCTCCCCCTACCCCCTCCCCTGGGCCTGGGGGGGGGGGACGGAGGGGTTAGAGCGTCCAAGATGGCCCAAGATGGCTCCAAGAGGGTCTCAGAGAGACCACGATGGCCTCCAAGATGGCTCCAGATACCTCAAGATGGCTCAAGATAGCCTCCGACAAACATCCAAGAGGCCTCAAGACGGCCCCAAGACGGTGTTTAGTGCCCTCAGAGCCCCCGACGAACCCCCCCCAAGAGGCAAAATGGTTCGAAAGCCATAGGAACATCTATGGTGTTGCCGTCTTGCCGTTTCGCTTCCGATGGGCCCTTGACGCCTTTCGATGGCCCCAAGACGGGAGGGGCCCAAGAGGGGCCCAAGAGGGCTCCAAGAGCGCCCAAGAGCGCCCCAAGACGGCCCCAAGACGGCATGTTTGAGCCTCCGAGGGGTGGGACTGAATGTAGTACCCCCCCTTCTGTTTGAACAGTGTGCCTGCCTCAAGAGGCCTTCCAGACGCCCCCAAAGAGCCCCCCCAGAGGGCCCCTAGACCCCCCAAAGGAGTCCCAAGAGGGCCCCACGAGGGCCACAAGTGGCCCCGAGAGGACCCCAAGAGAGATCCAAGATGGTTCCAAGAGATTTCAGAGAAAACACTTCCAAGGCGATTGTTACACTGCGTGCTGCTACACTTCACTGATCAAGGCAATTCGTCTGGCAATGTGTTTCTGGATGGGCTGGTGGGGATACGCGAAGAGTCATGACTTGCAATAGTTTCACTGATGGGGGCCGGCACCTTTTCAAAGTGTGGCCCTCGCCTTAGCGCCGAGCACATTCGTTCCAAGGTTTGACATAAGTTTCAAGGATTATCATGGTTAACGTCCCAGAGATGGTGTTTCGGCAAGTGTCGGACTGCCAGGGTGCAAAAGTTACGTCAGCTCGTGATGTTGAAGTCCCAGGGATGGTGTCCTGGCACGGTACAGGATCGTCAAGGGGCACCAGTGAGGTTGAGTCGTGGCTTCGCAGTCCCAAGAACGGTGCCCTGGGACGGGTCACGATTTTCAAACGGCTGTTTTCCTACGGGGCACTTCTCTCAGTGAGCATGAACCCTTGTAGAGGCCTGTGAAGGGGGAACTTGAAGGGATCGCTTACTGCAATATCGTTGATGAGGCTTGGGTTTACACTGTCCCTCCTCCTATTCTTCTTCTTCCTCCTCCTCCTCCTCCTCCTCCTCCTCCTCCCCCTTCCCCCCTTCGCTACTCGTCCCTCCTCCTCCCTCTCCCCCGCCTCTCCTTCCTTCGAGGAGGCCTCCCCCTAGGACGGAGGAGACGGACCGTGCTCGGAGCCCCGCGCCGCGAGGTGGCTGCCCCGCGGCGCGCGGCCGCGGCGGGCGCTGCCGCCACCAGGCCGCAGACCAGACCTCGGGATCCCGGGCGCGCTGGGCTCGACACGGGCGGCGGAGGAGGAGAAGCGAGGAGGAGCGAGGAGAAGCGAGGAGGAGCGAGGAGGAGGAGGAGAAGCGAGGAGGAGGAGGAGGAGGAGGAGGAGGAGGAGGAGGGCGCGAGGAGGCCGAGCCTCCTCCTCCACCTCCGCGCCCTCCTCCTGGGCCCTCCGAGGCCGTAGTCGGATCGATCCTCCCGCCGCTGGCCTCGCCCGCACGGCACGTCTGCCCAAGGCGAAGCAGGAAGAGTTAGAAGCCTGACCCCTGCATCCTACAAGAGCACGTTCGGGGTCGCCAGAGGAGCTGTCTCGTAAGCAGGCGCCTTCGGGCCCCAGTGACGCGTCCTGGCAGGTGCCTTCGGGTGCCCCCAGGCCAGTGCCCTGGCAGGAATATCGGGCGGGCGCCCCAGGCGAGCGCCCTGGCAGATAGCGCGCTAACCCAGGAAACCGCCTTGGCAGGTACGACACACTCGTGTCGTGACAACCTTGGCGTTGAAGGTCTGAAGACACACGGACCCTTCACCCTTGAAAGATCGGAGGCTTCTCGATCGCCACATTGTTGCACAAACGATCGGAGTCTCCCCCCAGATCGATGCACATCGGCCGATTCGGGGCCTCTGGTGGCGTTCCACCTCGAACGCCCGCGGCTGTGTGGCGACCGCGTCGACACGGCACGGACCTGCCGCACCTGGAGGAGGGAGGCCCTGGCCCTCGCCCCTCCTCGTCCTCCTCTCTTGCTCGCAGGGAGCCCGTACGCGACAGCAGGCATGGCTCAGCAGGCGCGCCAGCGGCAGAGGGCGGGGGCTGGCAGGACAGCGGCGAGAGGAGAGCGAGCGGAGATGCGGAGGCGCCTCCTCTTCCTCCTCCTCCTCCTCCTCCTCCTCCTCCTCCTCCTCCTCCTCCTCCTCCTCCTCCTCCTCCTCCTCCCCCCCTCGCCCCCTCCTCCTCCTCCTCCTCCTCCTCCTCCTCCTCCTCTTCCTCTTCTTCTTATTGTTATTATTATTGGTAATAGTAATATTATTAGTATTATGATTATTAGTATTAGTATTATCAGTATTAGTATTATTATTAGTATTATGATTATTATCATTATTATTAGTATTATTAGTAGTAGTAGAAGTAGTAGTAGAAGTAGTAGTAGTAGTAATAGTAGTAGTAGTAGTAGCAGCAGTAGTAGTAGTAGTATCATTAGTATTAGTATTATTAGTAGTATTACTATTAGTATTATTATTAGTATTAGTAGTAGTAGTATCATTATTATTTTTATTAATATTATTATTGTTCGGAATGTTATAAGTATGGGTTAGTCTTTGTTCCTGATGAAAAGCATTATGTCTTATTGTTATTATTATAAGTATTAGCTAGTATTATTTAGTACTATTGGCATCAGTAGTATTATTACTTATAGTATTCTTATTATTACGTGTCTTATTAGTAATAGTATTATTCTTATTATCCTAATTAGTATGATCAGTATTATTCATCATCGTATTATTCTTATTATTAATATTATTGCTGTGATTAGTATTATGCGTCTTATGATTATGCTATGTTTATTCTTCTTCTTCGCATTCGTAATATTATTCTTCTCAGCTTCATTCCGACGCCGACCAAATGGTTGGCCCAGATGCGGTGCGAGTGCTCCAAGAGTCTCGATCCACTCCCGCCCTTCCTCTCCGCCTCCTCCCTTTCTCCTCCTCCTCCTCCTCCTCATCCTCCTCCTCCTCCCCGTTCTCCTCCCCTCGTTCGGTAAGTCGGGTGAGGACCCTTCGCATCATGATATGTAACGGCAGCTGTTGAGGTAGCTTGCTTCTTTGCTTCATTCCTTCTCCTCCTCCTCCTCCTCCTCCTCCTCCCACTCCTCCTCCTCCGCCTCCTCCTCCTCCTTCTCCTCCTCCTTCTCCTCCTCCTCTTCCCCCGCCTCCTCCTCCTCCTCCTGCTCCTCATCATCATCCTCCTCATCCTCCTCCACCATTCCTTTTTTTCCTCATGAATGATTTCTCCCTGTCGCACCCCGAGGCCAGCTTTTAGGGCGGTCCAGGCGTTTCGCCTGAGATTTCCTCGCCGCTTATCACCCTGAAGTTTCAAAGATGGAGGGCGGGTGGTGTTCAAAATATGGTTCTCGCCTTAGCACCGCGCACACTCTTATAAAAGTGTGCAAGAGCTCATAGATCGATGGCGGATGGCTTTCAAAATGTGGCTCTCGCCTTAGCGCCGCGCACATTCGTTTCTTTGTTTGCAAGAGTTCACGGATTCCCATTAGAAGGATTCAGGATTCAACAGTTATGTTGATTCGCAGTGTTGAAATCCCAGGAATGGCGTTCTGGCACGACTCTGGATCGTCAAGACGCAACAATCAGGCTGATTCATGGCGTTGGAATCCCGAGAATGATGTTTTGTTATGCATCATGGCCTTCACACCGTTGTCTTCCAACGAGGCAGCTCCCTCAGTTGAAATGAACACTTGTAGGGGCCTATGGAAAGGGATCTTGGAGGGAGCGCTTATTCCAACATCGTCAATCGTCAATGACTCTTGGGTTTACAATGGTCCTCCTCCTCATCCTCCTCCATCCTCCTCCTCCTCCTCCTCCTCCTCCTCCTCCTCCTCCTCCTCCTCCTCGTCCTTCTCCCCCTCCACCTCCCCCTCTCCCTTCCCCTCCCCCCCTCGCCCTCTCACTCCTCCTCCTTCTCCTCCTCATCCTTCTCCGCCTCCTCCTCCTCCTCCTCCTCCTCCTCCTCCTCCTCCTCCTCCTCCTCCTCCCCCTCCTCCGTTTCCTTCCCCTCCTCCCTCTCCTACTCCTCCTCTTCCGCCGCCGCCACCACCGCCCCCCGGCAGACCGGACAACACGGCCGCGGCGGGCACGCCGCCGTGCGGCCCAGCCGCCGCTGGCGCTGCGGCGCCGCCGCCCAGCACCGGCCCCTGGCGAGGGTGTGCTACTGGTCGGGCGCGCCGGAAAGGGGGACAGGACATGGGACGCAGGACATACGAGCACTCCCATGAGATCGACTACAGTCGGACCTAGGCCAGAAGAACATCCTGCTAGAACACGAGACTCTCCGCCGGCCAAAATGAACCGAACATCCAAAGGTACCCTTCCCAGGATGCACAAGAACATCCAACAAGCACGAAGAACACTAGGGTACCCTCCCCGAACCGACCTCGATCTTACACCTCGGTCTGGCTGCACACGCAAGAGTGACCTAGGACAGAGTGACACTTTGTGCGCTTTCGGGGGGCGCGGGGAGGCCAAACTGGAGCGCGCAAGCCGCTGCTATCGCGTCGCATTCAGCCATCTGGGGACCCGTGTGCCCGCACCAAAGGTCACTCCGGAAAAGAGTCACTCTTGCGTGTAGCCGATGAGATCCTGACGTTGCAGATTTTCAAGACGGGCGTTTTTGCCTGGTTTGGGGGCCCGAGACCCTCAGGGATTGATCCGGCTCGAAAAACGGTGCAAGAAGATGGAGTCTGGGGCTCTGGTCGTGATCTTTCGCGATGTTGCAGTTTTTACGCAACGTCAGATTTGAGGGGACTTGTCGATGCACGTCCGAAAAGAGCAGATAGTACGCAGGTCTTATAGTGCCTGGTCTCCCGAGCAGTCCAGCCAGAAAGCGCCCGCCACGGACCTTATACTGTTAGATTTCTGAATGCGACGCGCATCCTTCCTCCCTTCCTCCTCCTCCTCCTCCTCCTCCTCCTCCTCCTCCTCCTCCTCCTCCTCCTCCCACTCCTCCTCCTCCTCCTCTCTCCTCTCCTCCTCCTCCTCCTCCTCCTCCTCCTCCTCCTCCTCCTCCTCCTCCTCCTCCTCCTCCTGCTCCTCCTCCTCCTCCTCCTCCTCCTCCTCCTCCTCCTCATCCTCCTCCCTTGTGAGGCCGACGCACGCATAGTAGAAATGCGCGTCGCCCCCATGGGGCTGGCCACAACCGACATCGAATCGGATCGTTCGGACCCAGACAGGGCCTGGAATGTACTTGGATCGCCGCGGTGGTTGCTAAGGGGATGGGGGGTTAGAAGTGGATGCTAAAGTAAGCTGTATCTGGCCCAACCCAACTCACCAGTGGGCTACAAGTGCCGTATGTGGCTTAGGATGATGAGGTAACTCCGCTAAGTGGGCCCCGCCCACTTAGCCCAGATCTGTGCGTCATTGAGCCACTTAGGGCACGTGCAACCCCCTTCCAAGCTAGGTTGGGCTGGGTAGAACCCAGCTCAGCATCCACTTGCATCCCCCTGTCCACTTCGCAACCCCCACGGCGATCCAAGTAGGTGCACCGGTGGTCCTCCTCCTCCTCCTCCTCCTCCTCCTCCTCCTCCTCCTCCTCCTCCTCCTCCTCATCCTCCTCCGCAGACGCCCGGCCCCGCTCGTCGTCGCCGGCTGGAGCCCCCGGCCTCGAAGCCGGCGCCCCCTCATGTGGCAGCCAGCCGCACCCCCCTCCCGTGCGCCTCCGCCGTCTCGCGGTCTCGCGCGCCGCCACAGTTATTTGGGGGGACGCCCATAAAGCATTGCCGCTGCTCCTTGGACCTCCCCCAGGGCTGAACCTGAACGTTATGTTTCGTTTTGTGTTTCGTTTTGCTCTATCTGTTCTCCGGTGACTCCCTGCCAAAACGAAAAACAAAGCACAGCCGAAGCCCAGCAAAGCAGCGCTGGAGTCCAGGCCTGACCTCTCCCGGGGTGCGCTCTGACCTAAATCTCGAGGCGAATCCGGCGGTGGCGACGAGGGCCTCGCAGGTGGAACCCCGGAAGCGGAGACGAGCGGAGGGCGGCGGTCTGGGTACACGTTCCTGCTCCGAACTTTCAGTCTCGGAGTCTCACATTCTCGAAGTCCCGCATTCTCGGAGTCTTCGAATAGGGGATCGACTACAGAATTGCTTTATCCCAAAATGAATTTCGTCGTCTCATCCACGAAAAATGCGTGGAATGATCTACGGGCATTCTACGTGTGTTTCGCACGACGAGAAAATCAAGTGTGGGGTAAACCACTTCGGTGGTCGATCCCCTTCCTCGAAATCTCTGAGGAGGAGGAGGAGGGGGAGGAGGAGGAGGAGGAGGAGGAGGAGGAGGAGGAGGAGGGAGGAGGAGGAGGAGGGGGGGAGGAGGAGGGGGGAGGGAGGAGGGAGGAGGAGGAGGAGGAGGAGGAGGAGGAGGAGGAGGAGGAGGAGGAGAGGAAGGAGGAGGAGGAGTAGGAGGAGGAGGAGGAGGAGGTGTGGGGTAGACCACTTCGGTGGTCGATCCCCCTACTCGAAATCTCGACGTCTCGCGTTCGCAGCCCCACGCTGGCCTGCCGCGCGCTCTCTCACAGCCCCACGGCGGCCCGCACCAGAGGGAGGGGGGCGCCCAGGAACACAGACAAACCCAGAGGGGAGCGACTACAGAATTGCTCTACCCCAAACTCGATTTTCTCGTCGAAGGTACGAAAAAAACATGTGGAAAGCTTGTAGCTCAGTCCACGTATGCTTCGCAGATTCGACGAAAAAAACAAGCTTGTGGGAAATCATTTCTGCAGTCGACCCCCTACTCGACCTGTCGTCGCTAGAACTCTCGATGGGCGAGGGCTTGCAAATGTTCGGCCTCGGGGGGCCCTCGCCGGGCCCCAGGACCGTCAGCTGTTTTTCGTCGGCGGCGACGTGGGTCCGAGACGCGGCCGAGGCAGCCGAGGGACGGATCGGAGCCGAATGTGAGTATCGGTTCAACTGATCCCCATCCTCAGCGGCGTGGCCTGGGCCCCACTGGCCGGCTTACCCCCCCAGATGGGGATGTAGGCCGTTCCCTTCGGGTTTCGAGGGGTGCATCCCCAACTGGGGGGTAATCGAGTGGGAGTCTCGAAGGGGATGGGGGATGGGGATGCGGATTGGTGAAACGATGCCGATCAGCGGCAACCTGGGACGCATCGGAAAAACGAGGAGGAGGAGGAGGAGGCAGGAGGAGGAGGAGGTTGAGCTCGCGGTCGAGGCAGCCGAGGGACGCATCGGAGCCGCACGCAGCACGAGAGGGAAGAGACGAGCGGGCGCAGGGGGGATGACTAGGAGGAGGAAGAGGAGGAGGAGGAGGAGGAGGAGGAGGAGGAGGAGGAGGAGGAGGAGGAGGAGGAGGAGGAGGAGGAGGAGGAGGAGGAGGAGGGGAGGGAGGAGGAGGAGGAGGAGGAGGAGGAGGAGGAGGAGGAGGAGGAGGAGGAGGAGGAGGAGGAGGAGAGGAGGAGAAGGAGGAGGAGGAGGAGGAGGAGGAGGAGGAGGAGGAGGAGGAGGAGGAGGAGGAGGAGGAGGAGGAGGGGAGGAGGAGGAGGAGGAGGAGGAGGAGGAGGAGGAGGAGGAGGAGGAGGAGGGGAGGAGGAGGGAGGAGGAGGAGGAGGAGGAGGAGGAGGAGGAGGAGGAGGAGGAGGAGGAAGGAGGAGGGGGAGGAGGAGAGGGGAGGAGGAGGGGAGGAGGAGGAGGAGGAGGAGGATCCGCGGGCGGCGGAGCACGCCCGGGCCAGGAGGATCGGATGCGTGTGTGCCAAGCCACAGCACGGGCACCACGAGTGAAAACCGGACTTGGGTCGGGCACGTCGCCCTACAGGGGGGAGCTTGGAGGATACATATCTATTGACTACCTACCAGACCACCCCAACCCAACCCGAAGACCCGAATTTCGGGTTGGGGGGGGTAAGGGTTCCACACGCATGTTTCTATGTTTCCCGACCCCCCCCACTGGAAATCGAGGGTAAATCTGAGCCTTCGGGTTGGGTTGGGGTGGTTTGGTGGGTGGTGATATATATATATATATATATACATACATACATACATACATACATGCATACATACATACATACATACATACATACATACATACATGCATACATACATACATATATAGAGATATAGATATATAAAAACACACACCAAAAATCAACAATTCTCGAACATAATCGAAAAGAGTCAAGCCCGGCCTGTTTTTTTACTATGTTTGCATACTCCTCCTGTAGAGGGACACGCCCGACTGGAAGCTAGAACCACGCGCGCGCTTCGCGCGCGCCCGGGTTCTAGCGCAGTCCAAGCCAACATCAAAGGAGCGAATGAGGATAGACATCGTCACGCAAGGATGACCATATGGGGGCGTACTGCCTGATGGACGCTTCAGGAGTAGCTGTGCAAGCAGGCCCCAAGAGATCCTGCTGCTCTGAGCAGATACACCGAGCAGCTGCCCGAAGGTAGCTTCTGGGAGGCTTCAGGAGGCTCGTGGTCTGTGGACCGTCTTCAGCGGTCTTGAAGATCTCCTGGGCGTCTCGAAAGCCCTCGAACTATCTCGCAGGTGACTTTGGAGGTCCCTTGGTAGCCCTCGGGGGCCAGTGCCCTGGGGCAACTCAAACCATCTAAGGGCTGCTAGGGTCAGTCGAAGCCCTCGTGGACGCTGCCTTGGGGATCCCATAGGCTGTATTGGTCATTGCTAGGTAGCGTTAAAATGTTGCATGACACGCGGTACCAGACAGATGGCGCGGCTCACTCTTGCAATGAAGGCGACGTCCAGGATGCGTGCAGGGCGGATCCCCCAGCTGTTTTCCCCGCATGCTGAGTGGGGGTCTGGGTTTCTCCACTCCCGCGTCGCACCCGCGTCTCTTCTCCTCCATTCCTCCTCCCTCTGGTCGTACACTCCCACCACACACACACCACGCCCACAACGAACACACAGCAAACGTCAGACACCCACACACACACACACACACACACACACACACACACACACACGCGCACACGCGCGCGCGCGCGCGCACACACACACACACACGTACACACACACACACACACACACACAACCACAAAGACACACACACACACACACACACACACACACACACACACACACACACACACACACACACACACACACACACACACACACACGCGCACACGCACACGCACACACAACCACATAGACACACACACACACACATC